ATTACAATTAAGCGTTAACGTGCTTTCGATTTTATATTCCGACGCGAATTAATTACAACGTACCGTAAAAAACGAGCGTGCAACTCGTTATCTATATATTATTTTTACTTTTATAATTAAATAATTAACTTTTTGCTTTTCTTCCCGTATATATATTCCCGTACCGTTCTCGCTCGAAATAAAAACATTTAAGTTGCGTCCATAATTCATGCAAATTGTTAACCGTGGAGCCATATGTGGTCTCGTGGGGAACCGGGACAGACACGCGAGTAGTGGTGTTTCAGCTGATTTGGCGGCCGGCCAGCGGGTGATTGCATTATACCGATTGTTTCTTCTCGCAGTGTCTAACCGCGGAACAGATTCTCTCTCTCTCTCTCCGCCGCTGACCAACAAGCGGTTTATCGGCCGGCCTTGGCTCTCATGACGGACGAGCGTCGTCCCGATACTATAAGCGTCAGCGATCTTCATGGCGCGGATAAAACGATGGAAACGAGAGACGGTAGACGTGCGGATGAGGAGCGTTCAAAGAGAAAGATATCAACAGCAATCCCTGCTAGGCACACCTGCTAGGTCAGCGCATCGATCTTCGGAAATTCACGGTTCCCGGCTCCCCCGACCTTATTCTTCGTAGTCTTCTCCTCCCCGCTACTACCCATGTATCATTGTCTCACACGTCCGGCCCCTCGGCAAGAATACGCGGCAACAAAACGTCTCGTCCGACTATTGTCTCGGTTACACCCCATTCATGAGGCAGTTCGACTCTTCAAAGCCTCTGGTCGATAGTGAACTTAGGCGCACCCTTACATGCCATCGCGGCCACTCACACGTACACGTGACACGTCCGTGCGGGTGTAAACGCACATTGATATCGGTACGGAACTATCGGCACGGGCGGGGCGGATTGTATTTTCAGAATGTCGATACACCGACCGATCTCGGAGGACTAGGCAGACGTTTATTGTCTGTCGTTTCTAAAAGGCTTATATTCGGCGCAGATACACTGAATGGAGAATATAAAAGTATTCTCCCCGAGACTTTTAGCCTTGTAGATAAGAAAACGGCATGCGCCGAAGCAGCCCCGGTATGTGGTGAAAATATCTTTCTTTCTCCGTGGAACGCGATATTTTATGCAGATCGCGGTCACTCGGCGGAAAGCGATCAGACGCGAGAAATGCCATACGTTCGGTGCTCTAATATCTTAATAAAATTCCCATTTTACGCGATAGAAATGTTATCCTAGCTCGGATTCGAGAACATACGCTACAGACGTTGAAACGTGGAATTTCACGAATATGCGGCTCAATGAGCTACAAGGGTTTTTTTTCTGAAACACTGTTCTTACAAAGGCCGTCAGTGGAGTAAAGACGATCTGCAGTTCTTTTACAGCGGCACGTGCAATTCGCATTTTTTTTTTTTTTACTTTTGTTCCGCATTGTGGATAACTCGATTCTAACAAATATAGAGATAACCACAGCGGAAATTGTGTCGGTTAATGAAAATTGAATTAACTGAAAAATATAAAGTTTCGCGCAAACAGTGTTTTGTTTCTCGACGCAGATAATTCTCGTGAACAAGTATGAAAAGTATTGAATGTTAGCTCGCCTTTGTAAAAAAAATAGTTAGATCTTTTTATATCCAGGAACAACGGCTTATGAAAAATAGCCGAGATGAATAGATATATACTAAAAAAAAATACGAAGCTAGTCAACAGGATCATAAATTTATACATGAATCGACCTGGCATTTCAACAGCAGTAAAACCTGGCGCAATGATCATTCATAGTTTATTTTAAAAGCACACGTGGAAAATAGAACGGTACGGACACGACGTCCCGTGGGAGCTGTTTGTTAAAACAAGAAAAGGGAGCAGGTCATTAAACAACGACAAGCGACATTTATTGTTTCGGAATACAAGAGTATACGGACCAAACCCGGAGAAAGTTTGGGAAGAGAGTATCGCCATAATTAATCACACCAGTATAAATCTCTCTTTCTCTCGCTTTCTATTGTTGTCTCTTTTTCTTTCTTTTATATAAAATTTTTCTTATTTTTTACAGCAAAACTTATACAAGTTAAGAGAGACAGGTTAAATAAAAACTAGGCGCGCAGAGATGTAGCTCCTTTTCTTGAAAAAAAAAATTTATTTAACGTACGTTTCGGTCCGACAATTTAGACCATATTCAACAAAAATTATATAAATAATAGTGATAACAAAATTTCACGTATCTCGTATTGCACACATACTATAACGATGTTTATAGTTTAATTAAACCAATGAAGTTAAAATAATACTGTTTTGTGTTAAAATAATAGATTTCGACACGCGCGTGGTAGTAAAAAAATAACAAAATGTCTAACTCAAGGTATTTGGTTTAAATTCCATCTTTTAACATTTAATGGTGTAGCTCGTAAACATTTCTCCGCGCAGAAGTATACATTTGAGATACATTTCTGTTGTTGTAACAAATAGACTGACGGGCGCATCGTATAAGAATTCAGGTCGTGTATTCTGCAATGTCGATTTTCGCAATGACGACTTGCCTCGCGGAAAATGTTTGCAGACCACGTGCGATAAACTCGGTGTTACAGGAAAGGTAAGTTGGAAATTGTCCAACCAGGTCTCGTACCAACCGAGAAGTCTTTTTAACTTACTCTCATCTGCGTAGATATCTACCGTAAGTCGCGCGTCGTCGGCTTAGTATTTTATGCTACAAGAATTTGCGCGGACGCTTCAAGAATCCATTTCCATTCGTCACCGATGTCGATGCCGCTTTTTCTCACCATTGATTCTCTCTATCTCGCGAGATAATAGTAATTTATCATGATGCCTCCGCGCCATCCTGACTGTCAGATTCTCACGTCGACTATGTTTCTTCCCCTCTCTCTCTCTCTCTCTCTCTCTCTCTCTCTCTCTCTCTCTCTCAGCACAGCGGCGTTACACGTTCCGCGATGTTGAACCGCAAAGCTGTCACGACATGAAAAATGTAATATAGGATTTAACCCACAATCTGTTTTGCTTGTTGCAGTGTATGATATCTGTAGCGGCGGACATTCTCGAGTTTTCATTCCTCCAATTTTAAATTCAAGCGGTGATATATCACATTGAATATTTGCAGTTATTATATAATCCCATCCTCATATTTTTATTCGAGCAGAAACGCATCGTAATCTTCATGTTGACTTATTAACGTGTCAAGTTGTTTCGCGGCTGTCGCTCTCATCTATTAATAATGTGAAAGAGAGTGAAATAACGTCGTTATGTAAATTATTTGCGAGCGAGGGGAACATTACGGTTATGACTCGTCCATCATAGAGGCGCAATTAACGATATTCATTACGGACTAACAGCGTCCGCTAATTTGACAATTGATGCGAAAACCAGAGTATGTGTCAACTGTAGCGTGAAGCACGGCTGACATCTTAATTATCGGAGATGAATTATGATCGATGTAAGGACAGCATTTATGCGATCGATCATAATGGAAACAAAATCCCGCATTTAATTAAAGTTCAATATTTCAGATAAAATAATTCTACCACATTTCAATTTTATCTCTCATTGTTAAAATACAAAACCAACATGAATATTTAAATACAAGTTTCTGAAGTAATAAAAAGCTTGCGTATTTATTATTTTTCCATCGATTGTTTTGCAATTGTCTTGTAAATTATTAAATTTGTAATACATATTTTAAAAAATAAAAAATTAAAGATACAAAAATTCTCATCGCGGAGAATATTTGTATTATATCTCCATTTATTCGCTCTCGAATGTTGAATAATACTGACCTTACTTTATACGCAACAGGTTTCGAGCCCCGTAATTGTATTAAAAGTGCTAATTTTTTGTCATTTGATTTACTTTTTGTAGAAATAGGTGGATCGAGGGCTCAGCTGATGCTGACGCACAGCTCAGAATGAGAATTTACACGGGTTGTTTGTCCCCGTAAACAGAAATGTCGCGAAAGTCATGGATATGCATGGCACACCACGTTCGTTAAGCTAGTAGTTGCGCTCAGAATATTGTCAGACACACGGGCTCTGGAAACGTGCTGTGAAGATGACGAACATTTGCTCAGCGTGTATTCCATGATAACAAATTTCCACTATGAAACGCACACATATATTTTCTCCGTTTCTCTTCCTTTTCCAAGAAGCTTTTAATTTCCTACTTTTCTAAATCATCAATCTGGTCCATTCAATATCTTCAACGAAGTGAGTATGTACAACGTTGCCGGACGTTAATTGCGCCAAACGATATCGAAGACACGGGTCGGTGCCTAATATAATTTTTTTTTTTTTTTGGAATTGGCCACTCGAATTGTCGAACGGGAAAAGATGGAGATTCCAATTTCGTCGGAGAATGATTGGTCGAGTTTCGACTTTCGAGTGCATCCTCATCGAGATCCGATGAAATTGTAACAAGCTGTAGTGGAGTAGATAGCACTCGTGTTGTAAAAGTTGGATCGGCAAGTCCCCTGGCTTCCTCGTAACTCGCGCCGTCCTGCATCTCCACGAAGACTCTCGAGATTTTTTCCACGCTTTCGAGTTCGCTCCAGTCTCCACTCGCGTTGAATAATTGCTCGTTAAAACGAGCCGGGTTTTCCTCTCGCTTATCTTAGCGGTCCAACACCATTCGCAGCTCAAAGAGCGCATGACGCTTTTTTCCTCCGCGCTGGTAATTACACCGTTTGTAATCGATTGCCTCGCTCAAGCGAAAATCTTTGTTGTTGTCGATATTCAATTAATACTGACTCTTTCGTTTCTTTCAAATTCTGAAATTTATTTGAACGAAGCAGTTTCAGTATGAATATCTATATATAATTTACAATATATAATTATCCCAACAATTAACACGACAGGTACTTTTATTAAAATATTTATTGCACCCTCTAATGATAAATTTTTATTTTTTTAATTCTAAGATATTTTTGTAATAAGTTTTAAATATTATTATGCAGCTGGTCTTCAATCCGAAACTTTCATTTCTCTGTTTCTAGTGCGATTCCGGAGTAGCCGTGGATAGATTCTTTCACGCTTTGTACTCGACGAGGAAGAAACACCTGATGCCATTCTTGCTCGGCACCGCTTGTTCCGAAGTCACCGAGACGCTGGCCAAAATTGTGCCCTATTGGAACGTGATCCAGGTGTCGTTTGGCTCGACGGCACCTGCACTCTCGGATTCCAACGAGTTTCCCCTGTTTCTGCGAACGGTCGCGCCGGATTCGAGTCACAATCCAGCCAGGATAGCATTGATCAAACACTTCGGATGGGACACCGTCACCGCGCTCTCGCAAACAGGCGACATGTACTCCTTGGTAAGTAGGTCGTAAGGAACACGAATGTCGTTCGCAAATCGACTCCCCCGAATTTATCGGCGCGGCTTTCCATCACTCCGCCAGTCCACGCCGGAAATAACTCGATCGCAATATCGATGTTATATAATTTTTCTCCGAGATCGTGCGGAAAGCATTTCAAGTTTATCTCATCCCCTCAAAATCTGAAGTCTTTATACAAACCGCGTAATATGTAATGCAAAAAACTGTAAACGTGGAATTTACACGTAAAATTTAAGTAATACAATTTTCCGATTTTATATCCGCGAATAAACGCGAACGAGAGTATGAAATATTATCGAAATTTACAGAGACTCTCTATTTGAAAAATTATGTTTGATAACGGATTGAAAATCGGCTCCTTCATAAAGAGCGGCGCTCAGAGAGTTGCAATTGACGTTAATCGCGATTGACATTTGCACCAAAAAATATACCACTTATAAATCCAATACCTCCTCTATCGCCGCTTCTACTCTACCGTATATAAATATCGAGATCAGATGAAGTGGAATCTCCGAAATACGAAGGGAATGCGCGCGTGATAACGTGATCGCGCGCGAGGACATTTTCCGCGTTATATTTATCTCTCCGTCTCGCTTTACGTAAACGTAACCGCGTGTTTAATTGCGAACTACACCGCGGAAGTTCGTTTGTGCTCGTCGTGCGATCTATACAATGAAGTTTCCGTTATGTCGGCTTTAATTAACTTTCGATTTGTACTCACGCGCAGTTAACCAGAGTACCCGCACAGTTCGGTATCACGTTTCGGTTAATTCTCGGTCAATTTCCGTCGCTACATTGTAACAGAAGCTACCACACGTCATATCCGGCTTTAATGTAGTCTAGGAATACGGTGACGGACGCGGACCCAGGGATGTCGCGGTACTAGGATTTCGACACAAGCGAGGCAAAACAATAAATTGCCAATTTATGTTGCAATGTTGTTTTATATAATCGTTGCACGAGTGAGAGAAGTCGTGTATTTTTTTCCCGATATATATTTATTTTAGCAATTTTAAAACCGCGAGTTTGCCTTGATAGAAAGAAGTTTGATTCGACAAATTTCTAATAAAGCGTGCACAACATATCGCACACCGAGAAGAATACTACTGTCACAACTCAAAAATTCACAATTTTCAGGAGAGAGAAAAAATAAATTTAATTAAATTTTTTTTGAATTGCGAGGTAACTAACGCAATTGCAATTACGATATTTTGTTAAATGAAACTTATACTGTTTTTTGAAGACGTTTGCTGTGAATTATTTATTAATTCACTTATAACCACACTATTCATCCAGCGACCGCAACTTAATCGGTCTAAAAGAATAACGACACTTCTGTTCCCGTGCGGCGAGTTTTGCATATAGAACTTGTAACGCTATTATAGCATCTAGGGAGCACCTCAGGCATACTTTTTATGGGCTTAATTCCAGAATCAAAATTTTTTGAGTTGTAATAGTATTCTTCTCGGGGTGCGATATATGTCATCTATCTCGAAAATTGATGTAAATGGAGTTACGAAAATTCTGCGTAGATCGATGCGTCAGTTCACAACCGTGTCTCGTTAAAATTCATATTGTTCCCAAACTGGGTTTAAACTACTTTTGAAATAAACGCTTATGCTCGAACGTGCCCACGTACGAGCGATCCGGGGAAACACCGATAAAGATACCTATACGAGTTTTGCTCCATGTCGCGAAGCATGTGCCGAGATAGATAAGAGAATTCTGAATGTGTCGTCAATTAAATTGCGTGACACGCTTGCCGAGAAGAAACAAACGAGCGAAACGAACGAAAACGACGCGGCGCGACGGCAATCCCTTTAGGATAACGGAACGTAACTCCCGTCGGTGTCGCCGTGACGTACGATGCGTATTTGTAAGGGTGACGCGCGACATTCCTGTTTTGCGCAAATAAAACGGGAGGCCGAGGGGGTAAAATGGAACGGCATACGCCATTTTCCACCTGTATCGCCGTCGCATCGCCGCTGGGCTCTCCAGCGCGTGCTTCAACACGTCGCGCGTCTCTCTGTTTCAGGCAGTGAATGATCTGGTCACGGAACTGGAGCAGGCGAATATCACGTGCACCGCGACCATCACGTTCGCCGAGAACGATTACAAGGAGCAGCTACGGACATTGAAGGTAAAAAGTCGCGCTTAAAACGTCAATCCGTTCTCCCATCTTCGTCCTTCTTTTGCGACAACGGGATCGTTGTAGCGATCGTTTCGCGCAATTAGATCGATAGGCGGTGATTCGGTCGATCAGCCGGCCCGCTCGGTGCTGCGGGTCTTTCATCTTTCGGACATAATTCGCCTGCTTTGAAATGCAAAGTTCGTTTTCGCGAAATGAACGCTGAAGTATCGATTGGATGGCGCGATATATACTCATCGGGGGATTAAATTTGCACTCGCACCGTCGATGTGCGCAAATTAATTAATTCGATTTCCAGTTCGAACGATGATTTAACTTTAAGAGCGACCGAGGAAACATTTGTTGATATAAATATTGCAGAAAGCACACGCGGGATAAAAATTCAATCTGGATTCGAACGCGAAATTGCGACGCGATAAAATTTTCAACGCGCAATCATCACTATCTCTTCTCGCTTCATTAGTATCATTTATCGCGTTTACGTGATTAGAGATGCTTCATCAAATGGAAACTGGAAACCTTTTTTGATTAAAGATATTAACTATCGCCATTCCAGGAATTGGACACGAGGATCATTATTGGAAGTTTTTCACCGCGTTTGGCGCAACGTGTCTTCTGCGAGGTGAGTTGCGAGAGAAAGCAAATTTGAATCTCGTCGAGAAAATTATTTTTTTTAGATTGTGTAGATATTTTCATAATTACCATAAGCAAGCTCTGTTCAAATAAGGGGTGTAGAACGTGGCACCATTTTTGGCGAGTATATAAATACGATAAAGAAGAATGGGGAACGACCACATCCTTATGGACTAATTAATGACGCTTTTAATAGCTCTCAACCCGTGTAATTTCGACAAAGTTAGGTCGCCATTTCGACTATTCATTTATTTCGAAAGTTTCCACTGACTCATTCCGAAACCCTTGCTAACGAGAAAAAAACAATTTTGCGGTTGTTCCACACACACGTTTGCCGGGCGGAATTTAGAGCGAAGTGGTTTTTGTCAAAGTAGAAGAAACGTGATAGAATGTAAACAGATAAACCCCGTTCCGTTACATTCGCAAGAACTTGATGCGTTTTGTTGCGCGCTCAACGACTGTAAAATCCGTTTAAAAGTTAAACTCTTGCAACGCTCATACTTTTCGAACGTCATTACCAATTACCACGATTAATTATCTCTCGCAGCAACGTTATTTACTTTATCTCTTTTACAGTTACCGTTACTGAAGATAGAATAAAATGCTCTTTCACACAAGTTCCGCTGCTGTCGAATTAAAATTCTCTTAAAAATCTGACAACGACGCATTGACGTTTAAACATTATGCAATCTGGCAAATTGTAAGAGATAAATACACACACGTGTCCATTCGGACACGTTCGATCATTCAGCGCGTCATTGAACGCGCAAAAATCGGAAATGCTTTCGTGTCAAGTATTATGAATGCGGCGCGATATATTTTATGGAAAAATAACGCATCCATTATACATAGCTCGAATTTTATGATTTCTACTCGACGGGGTAAGGATTCAATCCCCATACTCTCATCCGTCGACGCGCACTACATCAACAATACCCTCCGAACTTCATAAGAGGAAAAACGTTCCGGCAATCTCTTGCAGTGTTTCTGGATTTTACGAGCGCTCGAACGTAAGAGTTGTACAATAGTGATATTTCTTTACAAACGCCTACAAAATGGAGTAAAAAAATATCCGAAACGTTTTTATGCGCCATTTCACGGCGTCATGAAATGAAATTTTCTACGGAATTCCATACATCTATAAACTATCGAGTCAAATGGTTTCTTGATTTCTACATAGATATATATCACGCGTGTATATCTCTAGTAACATGGCGATTTTTCTTCTATTGCTTGTTAGATTCAACACAGCTTCGCTATATTTTACGTACTTGTACGAAACAGAAAAGGGATATCAAATGTATCAGGTAGATATTATCAATGACCATAATGTGTGTGTGTGTGTGTGCCACGTAAGCATAAGCATAAGCACGTAATGCCAAAGTGGAACACAGTTTACATTTTCCCTTTGTAATTTGAGGCCGAAACCGCGACCGCAGAAGCTTTCGGAGTCTTGTTTGTCGTGCGAATTTTGAAGTACAGATCCGGCTCGCATAGTGATGAACATGCAGATTAGACACACTGGAATATACGTAAGCAAACAAACGGATTGATATCAATCAAGGGAGAGAACCCTTTCATTTCACGTCATAGTAAATAATCTATACAGTAAACGTCATATCAAAATTATCATAAAGAATTCAGTGTTGACAATTAGTGAACCAAATCATAAATTTTTACTTCGCCAGTAAATGATTAACGATAAGGACTTTTTTTATTCGACCTAACTATTTTTATTAATTATAATCGTCACGACGTTTCCACCATGGGATGCTATATATACAATTATTAATTTAACATATGATAGTGACAAAATCCAAATATAAAATTTCTAATAACGCAATTATGCATTCTGCTTAATATATGTCGAAGCTTCGAAGACTGATCCCTTTTATTAAAGACTAATTATATTCGAAGCTTCGGCATAAAAGACTTCGAAATTTCGAAGTTAACTTTGAAGCCATCAAAGAGCTCTATTTTGAATACCTATTACGGCAAATTTAAGGTTATAAATATCATATTTTAATGCAGTCTTTTAAACATATTTTCGAGGCACCTGAAAGAAAACTTTCTGTAGAAAATTAACTGGCATATAAGGGTAATATCGAACGATCGCAATTACTCCAGTTAGATCGGTCGTAATTATAATACCCTAAATGGGCATTTTAAGTAAAATTAGAAAAATTGTTCAACTATTGAACAGTCACATTTGGAAGTTATTAAATGCATTCTTTAATAAATCTTAATTCTGTTCTAACCAAATAATTCATAAAAATAATTCAAAAGCCTAAAAGAGATTAACATGAGTTAGCTAACAGACAAAAATTACATCAAATTGATCGAAATAATTTAATGGTTTTTACCTCGAATAATGTGCGCGCGTTCTCTCGCTTTGAACTTCGAGGCAATATTAAACATTAGGAAGGCTACACAGAGAACGCAGATGTGCGGGGCTAAAGAGGAACGAAAAGTGCTAAAATGGCGTCGTTCGAGATTACCCCATTCTCCTCTATATATTAGCATCGAAGTTACATCGATTGAGAAGGACCCACGAAATATCGTGACGATTATAATTGACCAAAACGAATGGTTAAAACATCGTGACAATTATAACTAATACGGATCGATAACCAGTTAGATCGAATAAAAAAATCTTTATCGTTAACAATTAGTAGATGTTAGATTCTGCATGTATAAGAACTTGTTGAAGTAATTGTTCCATATGTAATATTTGTTAAATTGTGAAAAGTATAAATGCTGTATAAATACGAAATATGAAACGTTAAGAGATTGCTTTAATTTTAGTAGGGCGAATAAGAATTCCGTAAAGTTGCTATCACTATTTAGCAAGCATTAAGAAAATGGTACAAGTTTCATAAACGAGCACGATTCTTTGTGCTCTTGCTATTGTACTTACATAATAACCGTTCTCTCTTGCGGGCTCTTTATAAATGCAATTTCTTGTTTCTTGTTTATGCAATGTGCAACTCAGCGCGGCTGTAAATCTCGCCGGGAGTGTACGTATAACAGGGAGAACGACAATTTGTTTAAGTTTTTAACATGAAAGTTAATTAAAAAATTGAAATTTATATGCCAAAAAAATCAAAGAATAAAATTTTATCATACGCATTTTGAAAACGTCGATATTCTGTTTTTGTGAAAAGATAATAGGAAATTGTGCGTGGTCAGAGGCGGAAAATGTCTGATATAAAACAAGTCCCAACTACTGGATACATTCCATTCATTATGAATGAAATGGGTTTGAATAAGAGAAAATGCCTGACACAAAACAAGCCCTAACTATATAGATAAATACTTTATATCAGACATTTTCTGCCAGACCTTTGTCTCTCGTCGGATCCCTCTTCAACTTTGTTTCGGACGTTACTTCAGTCTTCATTACGATCTGTAATTGCTATTTTGCGGGATTAATTGAGGCGTAAAAAGTGAAGAGAATAATTCCAAATTTTATTCGAAAAATATCTTTGGAGGAAGAAAACCAGCGCACTGTATCGTTCATATTAAATTTCCAGTTATCCTATTCCTACATATACATCAGCGTAAACATCGAGTTGAAATTGCAGTCGGTTCGTTGCGTTCCGGGATATATGTGCTACTCGCATCCTTGCCACAAATTACCAACGTTGCAATAAGTCTCTCCATTTCCCCCCTTTCTATCTCTCTCTCTCTCCCTTTACTGACCCGTTTGCGAGTTATGCTTTAAATCGTGCTGTTTAGTGTTGCACAATTTTACGGTTCATTTCACAGGTTTGCTCGCAATGTTTCCACAGCTGCGTTCCTGCAAGATTAACTCATACATTTCAAAAAATTCAAAAATTCTCACCTATTTTAACGATGATGCACACATATTCATTTTTTATAACATTATTTTTGCGCTAGAATGCCGTTATTCGGACATTTAGAAGAGCAAAGAGGTGTTTTAAAAATTAGTTTTTAACACGTTTGCGCCGAATATTTACGCATTAAAATGGTAACCGACACGAGTTGGAAAATATTAAGCATTCTTCGATAAAATACGAAATATTTTGTTATCTCGTTTAAAATCGCGAGACAGTAACGAATTCAGATGATTCTACATTTCGGTTGGCGCATATAATTTTCTCGCTCGCGCTATTGTAAGTATAATAACGATGGCCCTCATTCTCTCATTTAGCAGACACCGCACACTCCGCTACACGCGGGCGAAGGACAGGCCATTGTGTAACAATGCGATCGTGTGTGCCCACGTCAGCGTCCGGTATGGCACGTTTGCATTGAAGTGTATGTATCGGTTTGCCTTACAAGTTAACTGGGAGCCAGCTCGTTACATACGTGACATCTTACGTGAAACGCGCGTGACACCTTAAACGTACCGCACAGTATGTACATACCTATTTCTCTCTGGCGCCTGTCACGATCACCCACCCACGTAAAATTTCCACCGTCGCGTACCGGGGCGATTTCAAATTGTACGAATATTCCTTGCGCCACCCCTACTGGAACGTCAAAATTACGGGGACGCCCAACGTTAATATCGCATTAAGGATATTCATATTCGCGCGATCGATGCGTCGCACATGCTTCCCCGCAAATGGAGATTCCTGGACACGGTTCACGGAATATCCCTCAATGTCGGTCAATTACTTATACGGCGCGTCAGAATGTCAGAATAAATTTCCGGGTCCACGAAGGCCAACATTCAGCGAAGGGGTGACATCTTGGGCGACCATACTGGCGATTCAATATAACGCCGATGTCACCGTTCGCGAAACGACCCTTAAACCGGTACCAAATCAAGGCTTCGACCAATCGTTACGTTTTCGCGACATTTAATATTCGTAGATCACGCTCAAGCCGTTTATTATGGTTAAAGGAACAGGCAATTTTTTTATTTTTTTCACACACTGCATCGACACGCAGCAGAGCACAACAAAGTAAAAATAAATGAAATAGAACGAAAAAGATCAATATTACGTACAGAGTCAACAGGACCAGTAAGATCATTTTTATAAACGTACAAAAAGATTGTATCCTTCATGCTCTTGTAAACATAATCATCGTGCAATAACGAGTTGATACGTTAAATGTAAGTAACTTCCTTTAACTAAAAGAAGTACCAATACCATCTGATACTTTCTTATATTTTCTTCTAGAAGTTATATGGCTATATAAAACTCGAGATACATTATCTTTATATATTTTTGTACATTTATATATTCAGATATATGTATATCTGTACCTTAGATGTAAAGAATCGTGTCTCCAGTTTTTGTCAAAATGGAGTTAATATAACAGGAGTTTAAATTGTATAATGATAAAGCTTCTTATGTTTATTATTACTAGTTTCTAATGTAAGATACAATGTTTAAAAAAAGTATTGAAAATTGAAAATTCGTATTGAAAATTTTTATAGTGCCTAATTTTTAAATAGGTACAGGCAGTTATACTATTAAACATGTCAGTTAAATTACTTTATTAAAAACTTGATAAATCAAGACGCTACTTTTATTTTACATCTAAAAAATGTATTATTTTTCTATTTAAAAAACTTTAAACCTTGTTTTCTCTAAAATTTATAATAATGGAAATACGATTTTTTACCTCTAAGGTACAGATATATACAATTTATAACTTTAAGATAATTATAATATTTTCTCTGCGGTCGTTAGGTAGGATTTATGTACATATTTCATGAATAATCGTTAGATAAGATTTATCTTATCGATCGCATTATGTATACACAATATAACATATTAAATGCCTTACTGTTTAAGCCATAATCATTGATTCTATCATAAGTGTCTCGCAACAGCTGTGTGAAATGTAAGGTCTGTATAAAATGTGCAACCTTTATGATAAACTTTTTATGATAATACAATGGCCAGCATCGTACACAATAAAAGAATGTATGCTCTTTTATAGCAAAATAACACACGACTAACATCAAGCGTTGCGCGCTCGGCAGAACTTTTTCCGCGAGGATTTTTCCTGAAACAATATATAACTTTTCATACGCACGATTTTAATCCCATTTCCTTTTTTTACGTCCCTCGTCCGATATTCACTGATGACGCGTGCATAACGAACGCACGATTTTCCGGTGAAACGGGCAAATCTTCAATCTATCGATAAATCGGGAAATGGGATAAGCCGACGCGGCGCAAACGTCGAATTGCTGTCGGACCGCAAATCTATTATTCTGTATTGAGTGACAAGTTACCTCAGAAATTAATGGATAATAATGTAAATCCAAATCGCGACGTTGACACACATATGTCATGGAAGAATCGATCATTTCGGGGAAGAGTGCATCGTTACACGTGCCATCACCTGCTCTGACACTGAATAATTGATGCAGTTAAATTAAGAATTTGTTTTAAATTAAAAATCATTCCCATTCAATTACTGGGAACGCGCGCTCGCGCGGCACGTTCGTTGTAAGGAAAATTGCACAATGGCACGGAGATGAAAAACCTGTCGTTCAATATTTTTTAATGATCATATAAGAGTTTCCTATCTCTCCTTCCGTTCTTTCGCGGAGATCACGCGTGTTAACGTTATCGAAAAATCGTACTTCAAGTAAAGCGGAAGCATGCAACTACCCCCTTTTCACTCCCCAGTCTCTGCGCCGAACCACAAATAATTCCAGCCATTAAGCGCGCTAGCGCGGCCTTTTGTGCACTGGGTAACAACTTTTTATTACCACTTTTAGTGCACTAGCCGTTGCGCTTGTAAAGAAACCCGGCAACCTGATTTACGAGAATGCTCGATACTTTCCGGACGTTTCCTTTTAGATTCGTTAAGAACTGATACGCTCTTTACTCTCGGTATACCGTGCTCTCGTGTATGCGTATCACTTACCCGCAACAAAAAAAGCATACTACTTCCAAAGATGCAGACATTTTTACATAATGAACATGATTTCAAATGCTGCCAGAATTCACAGTTTTTTATACAAATACAAAAAGTTGCTACTTTATATATTAGTTATCTCATATTTAGATTTTAAGTATAAATTTACGGCCTTTCGTATAGTTTCTGATATTTCATTTATTATTTAATAATTAAGAAACTTTTTTAACAGAGAGATTATTTATAGAGTTTAATGAAGAATTATTATTATACCTGTTGGTGTTATATAAAATGTACTCAACTATTGTATATTAACCCTTTACTTGCCACACTGGGGTGCAAATCAACCCCACGACCATTCCCTTAATTTTAAGTACCTAAACCTACGGGGAGCAGGTCTATAGCGACATCTGCCGTTTTTTTTTTCAATTTTTTGCATTTTTGCGTTTTGCATTTTGCATTTTGCATTTTGCAAATTTTAATTTTTTTATTATACATAATTTTAATTTTTGGCTATATAACCTACATAACTTTTAAAAGTAAGCTCTTAAGAAGTTCTACAAAATTTGGCAAGTTAAAATATTGAATAGCTTATTTGTTATAACAATTTTTGTCGCTGGGGTAGATTCCACCCCAATGTGGCAAGTACGTGATTCTACAGAAGTGTGGCAAGTAAGAGTTAAAATTATTAAGAAATAAAATGTAACTAATTAATTACAGTTAAAGAAAAAAACTTTACTGTTGAACTTTTTCAAATAGAATAACAAACGTTACATAAATCATAATTAAGTTTGTAGAATACTCTTGTTTCGCGCTCATGGATAATTGTAATCTCGTCTCTCGGAAGAAATTAATTGATTGTATCTCAGGGGGCAAAAATGTAACTGAGAGACCGTGACGCGCCGACCGAGTACAATTTAACGATGACCTACTTACTTTATCCGCTAACTTGACCAGCGAAAAGGCGATACAAAATGCCTTAGGCAGATATTACAATGCTCAAAGTGCACCTGGCAAAGCTGGCGAAGCTAAAAGAGCGGAAACAACGTTCCGGAGCGGAAGATACGGAAGATACGATGAGAGGAATAGCCAGTGAAGGCAACAAGAAGACGAACAAGGCGCACGGCAAGATATATTTTACAAAGACATCCCGGAGGATCCGCGAACAACCCTGTTCTCCTCGTCGTTTCTCACTACACGGAACATCCAGCCTTATTGCAGTTATTACGCGATCGTCATAAATAATTTCGCCTGACCGACTACTCGCCGTCAATCTTCCCGGCGCGGCGGAGACTTCGCCGGTTGAGATTTCGAGATCCAGGCGAACGCGATCGCGAACGATAATCCCGTAAGCTCCTGTCCTTCGGCAAATCGGAAAAGTAAACCGATCGATAGATAGTGAGGCCGAGCACGTTTCGTGACCCATTGCGCGTATATCGCGCTGTCCCCCGGGCTACCTTGACGAATCGTGGCAATCGTGTCAGGCATCGATCGCGATAATGCGGCATCACTATCGCGCAGCATTGTGCGTTCGTACCTATTGTTCGCGCAAACACGATGAACTGGGACAATGTTCTTTTGCAGCGCCGTGTTTAATCTCGCGCTCGAGTTCCGGCACATTCCTCTGTATATCGTGCTAAATATAACGTACGCAACGGGGTTTATTACTCCGCGGAATTGCGGGAACGCGATTAAAACGAATCTTTCATTAACTGCGTTTCCTTTTCGTTGCAGGCCTGGAAGCTCGGGATGCACGGCGGCGATTACGCGTGGATTTTGCCAGGTGAGACCATCGACGCCTTGGGGATAAAGGGCGATTGGTGGCGCGCCGGCATCGGAGAGTGCACGACTTCCCAGCTGTCACAGACTCTGGACGGTTTAATCATCGTCAAGAGCCACCCCACGGTCGTCGGAAACGAGACCAGCGCGTCGGGATTGGTATGTCGTTTTTGCCGAGTTGGCCGTTTCAATTTCTCTTATTAATACATAACGGCCGATAAAATATTACGTTGAGTTAGACTAGTTAGACAGTTAGACTGTCACGAACTAATTTGAACGACATTACAACACGATTCTTCAAGTTTCCCGTCATCGCCCCTTCTTTGATTTACACGTATATCCTTTGATCAGTCGTTTGTTTTCAGCGACAATTTGCGTTTACGGTATCCCGCGTTTACGAGGCAACAAGTTTAATAAAAAAAAAAATAGATAACGATCGTTCCGGGACCGTTAATGTTAACGGCGGCGATAATTGCAGAATTCCGCGTCCCATAAAAGCGAAGGCGAAGATGCGAAGAAAGCTTAGTCGCGGAGTCGTTGTGCAATAATAACGCCTGGGCTGCCGCTACAACCCTACCTAGGCGCCGTAATAAATGAAGTCCCACGAGCGGAAATTAGAGTGTGCAACGAAGAAAGCTGGAGGTCTTGCTATACACAGCAAGACTCCTTCCATTATGTTCTATTAAAGGCCCGCGTAGTGAAACGTTAAAGTGGAAAAGGACTGGGTCGTAGCGCGTCTTTTCGCACCCCCCCCCCCCCAGGAGCTGGGTAATCAGCCTAATGACGACTGACGAGCCGCCGTAATCGACGTTCGCGTCAAAAGTCAGCCGTCGATTTTGAGCACTCGTGAAAATAACAAATCGCAAAAATAGACAGCGCGTCGCGGTGCCGTCGTATGTGGATTGTACACGTCGCGGTTTTCACATCCGTCCGACGTCTTCCCCGAACACGTTTCCAATATAGGTATAGATATCTGTCCCGGATATGTCCTGGGACACGCTTCCTTCTGCGACATCAACGTGAATAATTTCGCTGTGTACCCGTGCAATTTTCTCCACGATCAAAATAAAAATAAGGTGAAAATAATAATGTTTGGTGTAGTAACAGTTTCTATATAATGCTATTAACCCCTTGAGTGTCGCACAATTTTCCTCGAGTGGTCCTAAAATACCAAAAACAAAAGATTCTCGAAAATTAATGAAAATTTACATAGAGGGGTTTTTCATGGCGCTTTAATGACGTCATTATTATTAGTTGCAATTATCTGTAAATATATTTACAGATCGGTTCTACATTTCATTTATTTCTTTATTTAAAGTGTTTTTTTTTATTTTACTAGCATTTTACTAGCATTTTTTAGACTCCTAATTAATGTTAATGCTTAATATATTATTGAACAATTAGCCTCTTCGAATAACTACAAAATTTCTGATAAGGAAGAGTTAGCGCTGATAACAGAATAGTTTGTATTGTATTTTTACATATCTTTTTAGGCAATTTTTAATATCTCTCTATCGGCCATGTCATTCTTTTCATCACATAATTTAATGTTTTATTCTTTATTCCATTTTTAGACGCTAGATTTCATGATAAGTGCGTATGTATTCAATATCATCTGCAGGATGCAAAACGCAGGAAATCAATTTTATCGCGTATGGCTACGTCGATTTTTCACAAAGATAATTTTTCGAAAATCCGGCGTGTACGCAGCACACATGAAAGGACGCCGCGCGTACGTTTTATATATAATTTGACAGGTGAACTAACATGTGTTCCTAAAAAAACAGGTGGGAAAACATGTGTAGTGCAAATGCTTTGAAACATGACATCGCTGCTATCGCGATAAATGCGCGCTGGCTTCACTAAATCAAGATCACAGGTCGATGTAATCGTCAATATATCTTTGCGCAGAAAAACCGCAATCGAATGAATTTTGTCTCGTTAAAAAACTAACAAGAAGACTCTACCGTTTCCAATAAACGCAAGATTGCTTACTTGGAACTATTAATTTGCGAGATATAATAAATTAATTATAAATAAAATTGATTTTGCTTCAAAGTCATTTCCAAAAACATTTTCATCGAAATCGATATAATCACCAATATTTTCGTACAGAAAAATCTTAGTGAGATGATTTTTGGTTTCGTTGGAAAGCTAAGAGACTTTTAATGAATACAAGATATCTCCGATAAGTAGTTGGCAAGATAACTTATTATTTACGAAAATAAAACTGATTTTGCTTCAAAATTCATCTCTGTCTTCATATAAATCTTAATTATACATTAAACACAAAAGAATACAAAAATTATCATATTAATAAGCGGTCGACATAGTATATGCAGCCTTCCGTTACCTGAATCATTTGATTTCTATTCACTTATTGTTTATTCCGTGCTCTCAATCTAGAAATAGTCATGGTCAAACTAAAATCGGCGAAAAGTTCAAAGTGCAATGCGAGATATATCCGAATCTAACAATAATAATAATCTAATTGAAAGCTTAATATAAACCGTGTAGCTAGAGATATGACGTTCTAATTCGACATTAGAGAGTAATGTATAAAAACGGTGAGTTTGACATTCCTTCGAGAGGATGATTGCTCTAACTTTTCGATCTACGACATATACGAGCTAAATTGAGATACGCGTTTTGAAAGTTAAGCCGCTGGAAGAGTATCTCGAGTATGCTGGGCATAAAGGGAAAGATTCGACGTCACTATTTTCCCCTTCAGCGAGCAATTCTCAAACTTCTGGACGTAAAATTATAAATGTAAGAACACCCACGTGACATTTCAGCGGAAATTGCGGAAATGGTAGTTCGACCAGGTTCTCAGCGAGCTTAATGCGGCATACAGAAAAGCTCAAGGGTGCTTACTATGCGCTAATCTGTAATAAAATGTGATTTTATATAGACACTTAATCAGATTTGTTGCGGCGAATTCGTGAAATGAGAATTTTCATCATCCCCGTTACTTCCTACGCAATTCCGATGAATATCGTAACTGCGACATCCTTGCTGATCCGGCTTACGATGCGCTTCAACGCTTCAACTAAAAATAACGTTGTTAAAAATTAAAATTCTTTCGTTCTTCCTCTTCCGCACATTTCGATATTGCCGAAATGTTAAATTAACGAGTGGCAAAATTTTTTTTCCTCTACGTTTGCGACAAAATTTTTTTCCCGTGCGAACGGAATACAACAACGCGTCGTTGTTGGCGCGAACGACAAATTAAATTTAACTCTCGCTCGTCAGTCGATTCAAACGTCCGTCCCTTCTTCCGCTTCAATTTTTTTCTTTTTTAATTATACGACACTGCGCCAAAGGTTTTACGAATCATCCAAACACGCTTTATGCATTGATCCCATTTATTTTGCAGACCAGCAAGAAGTTTACTTCGGAACTGAATAATACAGGCGTTGCGCACTCGAAATTTGCCGGTCAAACTTATGACGCCGTGTGGGCCATGGCACTCGCTCTCGCTGAAACTGAAGTCCTCCTAAATCGACGGAACGAGAGCATGGTACAGTACACACACACGAGGAGGGACCTCGCCAAGCTTCTGCTGGAGCAGCTTAAGGATTTGCGCTTCATCGGAGTTTCGGTGAGTCCTACAGTCGAAGGATAAATAAAGCACCACGGTCATTTATTACGTCCGTCCGCGAAACTTGAGGAACGCCACACAGGAAAGTGCATAAAATTGCCCCAAAGAGTCCATGTGTATAGAACTACCCGCATCCATTCGTCTATAGATCCTCTTTTATTAATTCGGTGCCGAGTCTCCCATACAAAAATGTCGTGCAATTTTTAAGGTTTCAATAATAATCGAAGACGAAGAATTTTCAACAAATATTAAGTTAAAAGACGTGGGCGAAATTTCAAGTCACGATTGGTTATAGATTATGATGATTACAATATATCTTTCTTTTCCTTTAAGAAAGTATTCTGATTTGAAAGATCGTAAAAAAAAACATATTTTTCAGGAATTTTTTGTAGAGAAACGAAAAAAACGAATAAGCAAATAAACTTTGCGTATTTTTTTAGCGTTATTTATTTTTATTTTTTAAGTAATATAAAAACGCTCTTTTTTTCTTATGTTATATCCTCGTCACTGCTCGTACAAAAAACGCACATTGACGGTGTAAATGAGATTCTAGCTGTTCTAGGTATTTGAAACGCAAGAACCAAAGATTTTCTTATTCAAAAGTGTGGCTATTTACACCATTTACAACATCTATATGCATTTTTTCTTGCGAGCTCTTAATGACCAGGATATAATATAAAAAAAAGCGTTTTTGCTATTTAGAAATTAAAAATATATTCTTAAAATAAGGCTAAAAGAACATCATACAAAGTTTAACATTATGCGCTTTTTTCTTTTCCCTACAAAAAATTCCTAAAAAATATTTTCTTTTACGACCTTTTAAACTAGAATATAATATCTCCTTAAAATTTTTCGACGAATTTTTAGAGAAGATCCTTTATAACTCGCATGAAATTAATAGATATAACAATATGATTAATTTATTCCAACTTACAATGAATAAACGTGTGATTGGATTCACGTTTCAGTAATGAAACTCTAATTGCCTTTTATATTTTATAATAAACGATTTTACTGTGCCGTCATTACATGTTGCAGCTGTCCGTTTATACATTCGTCATATATTTGTTCTCGTTATGTTTATAGGGGCCGGTCTCCTTTGACGATGCGGATCGCGTTGGCATCACGGCGTTCTATCAGATGCACGGTAAGTTATGTGTCGTTGAAAAATAAAGATAAATAAAAAAAAATGTATTTTTTCGACCGACGAAAATCTTTCATAGCCCATATAATAGAATACCTATGGAATTTAACGAATCAACTGACACGAATTAAGGGATCAGAGAATTATTGGCTTAGCAAGATTTGATACGATAAATACCGTTTTGTTGACGCGAATCGAAACTTCACCGACGAGAGTCAACTAGCACATTTCGCCGAACGCTCTCTGGACTTTACGCTTCATCCGCTCGGCCCGAATGTCAATAACGGCGTTAAACGTACAATGAGCCAAGAGCTTATGCCATGGGTACACGATGAAACGATACAACTGGGTTGAGAGCACAGACAATGGCCCGATTCTAACGATGCGATGCGCGGCATATCGCGTGTTCTACCGACGAGGACAACTGGCGCGTGGACGCGCGTATAATGCAATTTATGAGTTTTCTATTATGAGCTGCGCGTAGCGCGCGTCTAGCGTCCCGCTAATGCGTTTTGTTTACGAGCACTTCCGCGTCACGTGTTTTAGGTCTGTATAACTCATTGTCGGCCTATCACTAACGCGGACGCATATATATGTACAAGCGTTCTACATTACACCGTCCTCTCGTTATGCAGAAAACGCAATCTTCCTTTCAGAAATCGCTTTGAACGTTATGTGTATCGCTGCGAATTTCGAAACGAGATTATCCATCCCTCGCTTTGATATAGGGATATATACCAATTCCTCTGTTATCGATACATAAATTACTCATTTAACATTTCCGCAGATAATGATCTGCTGAAATATCTTATGCATTTAAATGAACGCCAATGACAATTATGTGCTAGGATGTACGTCGTGTAATTTGTATTTGAAATTAATCTTACTTATTACAACTTTATATATGATATGATATTCAAAAAGCACATTGCAGAGCATAACAAACAATGGATGTGTTGATTGATGCATAAAGTATTAATACATATTAAAGTTGCAACAATTAAGATATAATAATATATTTTTTCTTTCTCCCCTTGTTCTGGTTTCCAATGAAATGTCTGCAGCTTGTTGCTCTTCATCCGTTATTTATTTTGTAGAATCTTCTTCTTGCACGTTTGATGAGATTCTGGAGAAAAACTTTCCTTATACAATATTTTCCAATTGTACAATTGGAAAGTTTTACACATACTGAAAATTTTTCAAGAAACACCCGACATCTTGATTCAAAAAGTTTTGAGCGACTCTAGGTGATTTGTTCAAATGATTGAAGCAATAAAGCTTCAATGGTGTGTACTATGACTTCTCATTTCTGATACATGGAGCAGTGCGATTTAAATATGTGATTTACGCATGTCTCAGATGACCTAGGTATACCCTCAGGCATTGGATAGTTCGGGTACCTCGAGGTTGTACCTACGTGAATTCCTGAGGTTGATATTTAACAATATCACCAAAAATGTTTGTGGAAATATATCCTACATTTTTAATGGTAGAAAGCACTCCTGGCTACGTCGCTGTGTGTCAACGGGCGCGCAAACGATGTGTTTGCCGCGCATTTAAAAATAATCGTACACAGCGAGGCGGCATGACGACACTTGCATTAAATTAAAAATTAGTCTCTACCTTTTATCATTAACGCTACGGTAACGCTGTTGTCGCGCTCGAATATAACGTTAATTAATCCAGAGAAACATTAGCCGAGAAAGCCGCGCCGGCCGCGCGATATACACTGATGCTCGCCGTGATTACCTTTTCCTGGGTCATTTCTTCTGTCCGTTATTCGCAAACGTATCCACATTGCAGTCACGCATTCCGGAGATGGCAACTCGATTTATTAATATTGTCGTAATAGTGCTTAATATTGCACATGCGGTCTTATGAAGTCTCTTCATTTCAGCGAAACACCACCTTTTCCAATACACCGTGTGCACAAATAGAATTAACTGCATTTGCCACAGAAAAAGCGTAAAGGGAACTGGCTGTAGGTGTAGTAATGTGCAGCGTATGTACCACAATTTCATTTATGTTTGTCATCAAAGATAAGCTGCTTTTGTAGTTACTCTTTTATCAATTTTTCATGTGATTTGACAAATTATATCACTTCCATTCAAGGCATTGACAAATCTTTAGTATATCGTTTGTAAAATAAAATTCATTTGAATAGTATATGAATTCTTAGACAACTGATTTGATTTTGTTATGCCTTGTTTATTGTAAATTTTCCTACTTATGAGCCACAGTCATCATTCTGCTATACCGCTAACAAATTGACGTGAAAACTTCCTACGACATTCCCATTCGTCTGAAGACGAAATCGCATAGACTTCGCAAACTACTAACTCGACGCAGCACGACTGCAACTGCTAACTTCGCATTCGCGAAACTGGTATTGAATTATAAAACTGAGTGCCTCTTGTACTCAAAATTGCAATCAGACATCTCTTGCACGTATGACGCTGCCACTGAATTCTTATCTCATTCTTTCCATTTTTAAAGCCAATTCGAAATTGGATATTCGCCACAATTGGCTTAGCGTTTAGTTTAAAATAATGTTTAATTTAATCATCAAAGTAGCAATTATTTGCTACATGTCACTCCGACATATTATTTCATATCTAGCACTATTTACAAACGGAACGTCATAATGCGGGAAACCGAATGTCTCCTGCAGATTAGTTTAACAGGAAATCAATACATATCGACCCCTTACATCGCGTCGCTACAGCTAAATCAAATGTAGGTCAATTAAACAGCTGGATCATTGCAGCTGTCAAGTGTAAACAATATTCATTTCTCAATATTGTTGCCAAAAAAAGTATTCAAAAGAAAATTTCGTATCGCTATCAAGACTTCCTTGGATAAGATTTATGAATTTTATTGTTTCGGTATTAATACGAATCTAATACTACGCGTATTTTTAGGAAAGAAAAAGGAAATGGTTATGATTTTAGGGGTCGAATATATCTATTACATAATATCGAATGTATTATATATATATAGAGTGAAAATCGACCCTTCTGCCTCAGTCTTAATATTTTATTGCAATCAATCACGATCACGTTAAATGCCCTGCATGAAGCTGATCCTCATATGGATTTCCAATATGATGTTACGTCTTTTAACACATTCAGCCATTTACCGCGTGATACTTCAGTAATGGCAAAAACGATTTTCTTCTCTCTCTTTTTTTTACAACGACGAGCTGACGAAAAGTGTGAAAAAGTTTTCTGCACAATTTATTTTCTGGGATAAATTGACTAATATTTCACCACGAATTTTTACGGCCCCTGGACGGTCTGTTTGTATTACAAACTCTCTAGTTTCGCATTTGTTCGCATTTGTTTTCTGTTTCTCATTCTATTTATTAGTTACGTATATACAAACCGCACAAAATCTCTCTTTCTACGAATATGAAATAAACTCCCGCTCCGTAGAATTAATTATTATGAATCGATGTCAGCCCGTGCGATATAATAATTGACTACTTTGATAAGTAAATAAAATAAGACAATTGAAAGCAAATCGAATTTACGCAAGCGGAAGCGATTCTTTCGACGCGTGAAATCCGCTTACGGATGAAGTTATTGCGCAGCTATCATAAATTCGCATACATTAAGGCACGTACCGCGGCACCGATAACGGCATGCCGCATGAAAATAAAAGCCAACCAATTGCATATTCAGTCAATTTTTTGCAGCGTCGCGTTTAGAGCCGGCGTCTCGACGCGCGCGAATCGACGATTTCACTTTTCTCTCGCGCATATGGAACTCTCTCCCGGGGAGGGTAGCTTTGCCCCGTGGCGGTTGAGGGTAAGTTAACGGATCCTGAAAATAAAGAACCGCTTAAATCTCTCGCCTCGGCGCTGAAGTTTAATGCTCGTAAGGGATTTTCAGGGGTTCCGCGTTGCGGGAACACGGAGCAGAGTAAACATCGGCTTGGCCGACCGACGCGACGTCGCGGTTTATGTACCTGCTAGATACGACGGATTCGTAGTCTCCGTCTGGGGATATGAGCTACGAAATGAGATCGTCGTCGTGAATCTCGCAGTAACGCAGTTGATAATACTCGGTGTTTTATCGAGTCTCAGTGATCTTTTATATTGGCAAAAGTCAATGCATTATTAATAAAGATGGCCTCTCGTCTATATTGATATGGGTAACAAACGCACGCGAAAGCGAAGAGATAGGAAGACTTGAGATGTGTTTTCGATATTACCACTGGTTAAACTAATTTTTTTTTTTTATCGTCTTAAGTCGGCTTCAGAGTTAGGCACGGCATATGTTTATTAAATTATAGCCAATGACAATGATAATAGCAGGCATAGTATAGACAGCACAAGAGAAAAAAATATTGTTAATATTATTATCAAGCAGTTTTAAAGAATTAGCGTTTTCAATTTTTTTTGTGAATTTGTATATTAATGAAATATATATTGAAATTAATGTACAAAATAAAAGAATATGATAAATTGTGTTAAAATAATTTTATAAAATTATTATTCATTAATACTTTCATTAAATCAGTGTACTACTCTATTATCAGATATCTACATTAATAGCAATAATCACAAAATGCGGAACATGCCGATGTTAGTGGTACTTAACAGCAATATGCATTATGCATTACCAAAACTGATAATTTTATTTTTCCCGTTCAAAAGCAGTAATTTTCAGTTCTTTATTTTTCTGCCTGTTCTATTTGGTTGTTATTACGGTAATTAATGCGTTAGTAATTACGTGTGCGTCAGCTATCTCTCGCGTAGTGCGCTGTGGTCAAATAATGGAAAATACGAGGTCGCAAAACCAAGATAAATGCGTTGTAATTGCTTTCGTATTATTCTCACGGGAGATGTTCACATGTCCTCGCCGAAATTTTATAATTAATTTCATGCAAAAGAGAAATTGCTCCGAACCAAACTGCGCTGCAATTTCAACCGGTAATCATTCAGTACAACGGAAGCTCGGCGCATCTGAAATAAATCGAAGAAGCCGAGGATCGTTCCA